CAATATTAAAATATAAGCTAGCACAGGACTAAGTTACACAGCGATTTAACAGATGAAAGCAGTAGTATTTTCTGACATATACGTGTACGTAGTACAGAAACAAAACCTTAGAGCAACCTCATGGAAGTTTTCACATTTGCCCAGTTTAAAAGTTGGGCAAAGGTATAGATGAAAGTGAAATTTATGAGACTCCCAGAAACTCAGAATTGTAACATCATTAGGTGTTACCTGTTTTAACACCACCGTATTTTGGGAACACATACCATTGCTTTTCAGTACTAAAGCTCCCTGAATAAACTGCATCCTCAGAAGTAAGTTCTTTGAATTTATTAGCATGGAAAGCATAGCACTATCATGTACCATATCACATTTATTTTTTGTAATTAAGACTGAGGTAAAAATAACTATGCTGAGTTGGAAAAAGAGTGTTTGTACCTTTTTGTTGTACCCTTATTGTTTTAAGGTTCGGATGGAGTTAGTCTCCCATACGAGCCCGTTACACCTGACCAGGCCTGGGTAGTGACCTGCTGCTGAACAGCATCAGGCTTTGTAGACCAAGGCAACTTCAGGAATTCCTGCAGTTGGACCACTGGAGTACTGCTGCATACCAATTCAACATTTTCTCCTTGTAATTGTACTGAAGTTGGATAAAGAGTAGAAAAATCCACAAGTCAGTAACGCGATTTCCTTCAGTCTGCCTTTACTAACAAAACCAACATCACTTAGGGAACGGCTTTCTCAGCTAACTGCCCTATTTCATCCCAATACAACCAGATAAAAGAACTGCCATGAAAAGCACAGCCCTTAAAACACAGGCCTCAGGTCTACCAAACATTGCACTTTCCTTCAGGTGGACTGGAAATTACTTGGTGAAAGAAAACATTATCAAAGGACTTCTTGAAAAATCAAACTTGATAAAAATAGAAGTTTAAACTGCTGTTTTAATCAATGTTTGTATCAGATTATCGTAACTGTACACCAAATATTAAAGGACTATTTAGGACTAATGCCCTCATCAGTAGGCTCATCTATCAGCACGACCAGAACATGAAAAGATCAATGTTTAGCTGGCACTCAAGTACAGCACGGCTCCAAAGCAGAGGAAATATATTAGCATCATAGCACAGAGAAAAAACAGTGGTTAGAATATAATACACTAATAGATTTGCAAAGTCAGTATCCCTGATGACTCTAATAGAATTAGCAACCTAGATATTGTGAAGTTAATCACTGCTTCTGAACAGAACACAAAACAATTTGCACTTCTAAGAAAAACAAAATCAGTGACTGATGGGAATCAAAGTATCCCAGATTTTCCCATGTACACTGCAAATTCACTGGGATCTGCACAAAGTATCAGTATCACCTATTACACAGTTTTTAAAGTGCATTTCATCCGTTGGAGAAAGTAATGAAATATCAGTTGAACTCACAATCAAAGAAAACATTCTCAGCAGCGACATTCACAGCAAAGCATCAATCAGTGAAAGTTTGCCCTTTCCATTTCCAACTTGTATACATTCACAGTGCAGTAACAGGCACTGGTCTGCCTAAAGACACAGCTCTCTACATATCTGACCACTGGAAAGAACAAATAAAACTACACTTGAGAAGCCCACAACACTCTTTTACCTCTTGACCAGAATCAGTACAGTTTTCATCCTAGTAAGGTCAGGTGGTAGTCTACTATCTTACAACACTTTATTTTGCCAATGAACATGGAGAAAACATGAATTTATTTCAATTGATTCAGCATCCTTATTCACATGCAGATATTAGAAAACAGTCCTTTTGATCAATGAATACCAGTCCTGTGTTTCTTGGAAGACTTCTTCAATTTTTCCAAATCTGTAACATTCAGATCTGTTTCACAGCATTCTACTCTTTTATGTTTCTGTTCCCTATGTCATTTGCAATACCAACTTACTTACTGTGCACATGTGTATCTGCTTAAAAATCAATTTTATTTATCACCAAGGAATTCTTTCACAGATAAATACTTAAATCATCACCCTTTGAAATAATACTTTATTTCTAATACTAGATAGAATTAATATTTCAGTTAAAGAAGTATTGAAATATTCACTAGAGTAACAAGGAAGGGAAAATCTGCATGCCAGCAGTACCTGTAATGAAAATGCTGTTTCAGAGTCAATTTGCAGGCATTTGGAGGGCTGGGGGATGACACAACACTGAGTAACACTTGTATGTAACACATGAAGTCAGTTGCCAGTGAAATGCAAAAAAAATCCAGTAATTTTTTTAAAAAAAGTAGCTACCATCTTGAAAGCTATTGGTAGCACCAGTAACAATGCTATTCTTTGCTACTCACAAATATGGTACCAATATCTAGGAAAACATGTCTAAATTTCTGCACATCATGTCATTAACTGGAACACCACTGCAAACGCACAGATGTCAATACCATTGCAGTACAGGCAACAGGCCTTAAGCAGATTTTTCCAATCTGCACAAGAACAAGGGCCAAGAGAAACAACTAAAACACTGGAGATTTCAGCCAAAATAACAGAAAGATTTATATGTAACTGAAATCCAGGGAGGGGGCAGAAAGCATTAAGCAAAGACTAGTTTTAGTACACCAGAAGGCATGAAAGATTTATTGCTGAAGCAAAAGTCTGAACGTGAAGTTGTATGCAGCAGGA